GAAAATGAGTTTGGAAAATAAGTTTTAAAAAATCTCTACCAAACAGGGGCTTAATATCAGTTTAGCAGAAGCGTTGGCTTGTCTTAGGCAGTCCACTCCTATCATAATTAGACCATTATAAATACTGGACTAACAGTTGTGTTCTCTCGAAATTATTTGTATCAATTCATATGAATCACTGACAATTCTACGATGTAGTGGGTGCGAACTTATTTGCATCAATTCATCTGAATTTTATTCCCTTTGCAACTAAAGGTCGTACATTTTATTTTAACTTTTTCCTGGGGGAATTGTCAATGCATTGCCACATGAGACGTGGAAACATTATCCGTTTATATTTTTTTTCTCTCTGTTTCTCTAGTGGTGGATGTGGTGGGCTGGGGTTTATGGTTTGGCAATAATGTAAAGCATAAAGTAAAGATAGAATATGCATGTCTGCACTTAAGACATTCTTTGATATAGTATATCTGGATATTGTAACTAAAAAAATGTGTGAAGGTATTGCAACATTCAAAATTGTCTCTGCTCCTTTAACTTTGAATTTTTAATGGTGAAAAATGATCAATTAGCTGAAAGATTTTGGGTCCTAATCCATTGTAAAGGAGGCCTTCTACACGAGCACCTCGGTCATTCCTCATTCTCTTTCTCTTGGTGGAAGAAATATTTCCGGAGGAGTACCGTTTTCTTAAAATGTATGGAATGTTAATTGCCCTTGTATGTATCATTCCTGTGCCACCATTATGCCTTTGTGTAGACTTGATTGTAAGACTGTTTAGCAAAACCGAGTTCTATATTTGAAGTCTAATAAAGGTGCTAATGACCCTTATCAAGTTATTGCAAAAATCATACGAGGGGAACGAACTAACTGAACCAACATCTGTATTGCGAATGAGGGGATTGCCATTTTCAGCTGGCAAAGATGATATAATCGATTTCTTTAAGAATTTTACTTTGTCAGAAGATTCAATTCATATTGTCTACAATTATGATGGAAGGCCCCAGGAGAAGCTTTTGTGGAGTTTGCTAGTGTGGACGACGCAAAAGCAGCATTGTCCAAGGATAGGATGATGCTTGGGAGTCGTTATATAGAGCTATTTCCATCATCAGTTGACTAGATGAGTGAAGCACTTTCAAGGGGACAGTGAAAATTTCAGTCTCAATGTTTTTTTGTTCTGTACTTCGATATCCTTAATATTGAACCTTTATTAAATGATTACTTGGAAATTTGGTAGAATTAAAGGTGATGCCATTACCCTGATTCCCTGAATTTTGATACTTATTTGCAGCTGCTATGTACAAGTGCCTCTATAATATGACATTTGATTGGCATATGCATTCTTTTAGCATGGAAATAGTTATATTGGTCCTATAATTTGAACCCACAACTTATTTTGGCTTAAGTTGATGGGAATGTACGACTTTGGATAGTATTAAAAAGGAAAGATGTTAAAATGTTGTTCATTATCCTGTCTAGCCGTATTCATATTTCGTGCCTTGAATATCTGTGTGGGCCTGGATTGGGTGGGCCACCAGGCCCAAATAGTTAACAGGTTAGGAATATGGACTTCATTTTGTGGAAAATACAAGGGAAAATTACACAATAACCGGTATTTGAAGATTAGTGTTCATAGATCAGGTGCAAACTTTAATTAATCAAAATTCAGGTAATAATTTTATATTTTAATATTAATATTAATATTACAATTAATCAAACACCCAATCCATCCCAAACCCTAGCCATATCTTTTCTCTCTCTATCCTCCCTCTATCTCGCCTCTCTTCCCCT